AAAATGAAGGAGAACGGCGATAATTCGGAGCCACTTCTTAAGAAAAGGCGAAAAGCACCTCTGAATACTACTCCACCAACACCGGTGAAGTTTGAAGTGGAAGATGTTTATCAGGTACTCCTATCCTCAACAAACATTTCAATTCCATTCCGACATCACTTTTTTTTTCTATATTGTGACTGCTGTTCCCGTTTCATCTTCTATATGGCTCCTTACTTTGAGTTTATGCCCCTACCTTTTGTTCTGCTTACATAGTGATAGTTTCACCTAATGTCAAGGTGTTACCGTTTGATTAACGCTCTTTCATTCATTGTGACAGAATGTAATTGATTGGGAAGAGAAAGAGGCTGGAATGAGAAATCCTGACAAAGACCATCAAACCTTTGTTGAAACATGTGATCAGTTCAGGAAATATTTGGAAGAAATTGCCACATTGAAGAAAAAGGGAACTCCAGAGGTTGGTTTGTCGTCATCACTTTGTTTGAACATATTATCTTAGCAACATAAGTACAACCATACATTTTTCTCCAGGCCAAGGCACTGATTTGTGAAAAAAAGGCAGAGGCTTCCCTTTTGTTTGTATTACTAAGAAAATTAAACCGCTTGGAGAAGCTTCGTGTTAAGCAAGCAAGAGCATTATTGTTCAGTATGAAATCAACTGTTGATAGCAAACATTTACAGCTTCAAAATCTTCTGTATGAAGTTCTTCACTTACAGAAAGAAGTAACAAAATGTCTGAACTTTAAGTGAGTCTCACTAATAAGAAATTGAAATCTTATCCAAGTGTCATTAAAATTGTATTTTATTCACTATTTTTTTGTTCCTTTCAGGTCTTTGGATGAGACAATTGAGCTTGTACCTTTGCCTGAATTTTTGAGGGATGCTCCTGAGTCACTAAAGAAAGCTGTATGTATTTTAAAATTTGTCTGTTTTAAGTTTCTGTCTTTTTTTATAATAATATTAACTGTCCTTTCCATTAAAAAAATAATCATGTATTAGGCCAAAGATCAAGATGATCCCCATCAGTTGCAAAAAGCACGCCTTGAGTGGGAACTGCAGCAACGTAGACAACTTTCTGAAAAGCTAAAAGAAACGCATGAAGAAAAAGATAAAGTGGCTAAAGACATCGAGAAACAGCAACAAAATCTCGAGGAATTGGGGCCATTACTAAGGAAAATTCTCGATGCAACAAAGCCTGTTGAGGCATGTCTTGGTGTTAAAATGCAGGAGACAAAAACTCAACATGAGCTCTGTTACCTGCTTCCTCAGCCTTTGTTTTATTTATATGTACAGGCTGATGCCTATCAGCAAGCAAGTGGTAAGTTATGTTCAAACTCCATACTTTGAATTTTGTTTTCCTCTTTTATTTCTATAAAACTACTTGCATTTTTCTTTCATTTTAGATCCTAATTTAATTGTGAACATTGTCGGGGATGAAGATGAGGCGCGTAGATTGAAAGGATCTAAAGGTCCAACTGAAGCTAATGAGGATGAAGACTCTGATTCGGAGCAAGAGGTAAACAAATTTTCCCCCTTGATTTTAAATTATGTCAGGTTTTCAGGCTCTCTTGTTCTGTTTTACTCCTTGAGTATATGAAAACTAACACACTGAATCAAATCCGCCTCTTACAGCTTGATAATGAAAAAGGCAAACGACGTAAAAGAGGTCACCGTGCTGTTGATCGTGGAGAAGAGAGAAGAAAACGGTTGTGTTCAAAGCACCCTCTAAATGTCACCTTAACCATCTGCTTGAAAGGTTGTTTTCTTTTTTATATAATATTTTTCTTTACAATTTATCTGAAATACTTCATTTGCATGCCTATTTTATCTGGTTGCAGATGGAAGCAAACTGGAACTACAATTCTCTTATTTATTAAATCTCTGTGTCGTATGTGTGAAGTGCACTGTGCATGTAGCTCAACAAATAACTGGACTTTTTGCAAGGTGATGTATATTTTCCAGCATTGAATGAACTAAATTGTGGTTATGAGGTCCTCATGTATTTATTGCATTGTTTTTCTGTGGTTTAGAGAACTTGTTTCTGCAGAAAAAATTTTGTGCTCCCTTTATCCTGGTGACCTTGGATTGGAGAGCCCTAACTTTGCAAACCACTATCAACTCCAAAATGTTGGTTTAGGTCAATTTTCAGAGCTTATACCACAACTTGGTACTCCATATTTATGGGCCCAAAAAATTGCTGGATTGGATTTTATATCACATGATAGGATATCAGGATCCTCCAGCACCCAACAGGTTGGTTTTGATTCTTTTGATTCATTAGAACTACCGTCTTCTTCTAATCAAATATTTTGTGGTTCTAGGCCAGGATTGAAGTTAGCAGGGCAAGTGTACCTAATACTATTGTGTCATTGCATCAAAGATTCAAGGCTTGTCTAGCACTTTGCAAACAAGTTCAAAGTTTAGGTATGTTAAGAGGTGGTTTTTATTTCCTCTTACGCAGAACTATATTTTTCAAAATTCATCTAATGCTTGTTTTACCCATTAGAAAGTCGAGTAGTTCCCCCAATACCATCTTTGCAAAATTTGGTGCCAAATAAAATAAATTCTCAAGTAAATGAGTTAAAGCCATTAACTTGGGCGGACTACAGGTCAAATAAGAGTACGCAGTGGCTCACAGAACAGCACCAAGTTGATGAGTTTGATTCGTTTTACCGTTTGGTTATTGCACGTGGACCAGGTAAGAGAATAAAATATTATAAAACAATCATGACTTAAGCCCTCTTGGATTCTTAATTAAGTAATACACACATTTTGCATTTTCTGAAGCTCGAGCTGTTGCTCTGATAGCATTAAAGAACACCTACCCAGAGTCACCCCCATTATTTACACTCGAAATAATCTGGAAGGGAAATTTCACAGCTATGGATAGTAATTCTGTTCGGGTAAGTTCCTGCTCAATTCTTGTAAAGTTTTTTTTTTTAGTTTTAGTTATCAATTTATTAATTCTTCTTTTTTTTTTTTTAATATCCAGGACATTGAAAAAGAAATCAATGTACATTACAAGGAATTGATTGTTGGACAAAATTGTATTGAAACTCTTCTTCTTGCTCAAGTGACACGATTATTATATTGCTTTGATGTTTACCTTGAAGCAACCTCAGAATCAGATGAAGACAAAACTTTGTTTCCTCGTGAAAAAGTTTTTATCCAATCAACTCGGTAAGTATGTCTTTATCTATCAAATTCTTGAGTTCTGCTGCTCTGATAAATTGTTTACTACAAACTTCTCTGTTTCCTCATAGGGGCCGCACTCGAGCTTTGCCTCTTAAATACTCAGAATTTGGCGGGGGAATGTTCACTCAACGATAAAGTCTTGCTTCTTTGTACAAATCAGATTGTTACCTTTTGTTATGTCCTTAATATGTGTAGGTAGTTTAAAATCATCTTGAAATTGAATGAAGGTTTTTCATGCGGTTTAATAAAGGTATATTATACAGCACAGCATTTTTCTATTCTACTTTCCTCCTCTTTACTTTAAGTGGTTCTTATATAATAACATAACAGGACAAGGAGTTGATTTTATATAAGAAGAATATCAGTCTTAGATAGTTGCCTTTTTTTCTGTCCTCTGACCTGCAACTTACTGTGCCGTAAAACTTTCTTATTTTGTCTATCTTCTTTAACAGTTGCCCTTATATTTACAAATGGGCAGTTATATACCCTTATTGAAAATACAGTAAATAGCACTTTCAAAAACAGGTTCAAACTTTGTAGCATAAACTGTACAAAACATTTTTCTTACCAGTGTGACTAGTATTGACTCATTACCTCTATCACATGTTTGTATAGTAAGGAATAAGTATCTTTTGCCCATAGAAAATCAAAATGATTAAATTTTGGGAATTTCACTTGATGTAATCCTAC